CGAACGCCGCGGCCGGCCCGGAACCAGTGCTCGAGTCCCTGCGCCGGGCGGCATACTGCGCCTGCGCCGGGACCAACGCGGCGGGGATCGAGGGGATCCCTGACACTGCTGGACGGAAGGGGAACAAATTCCCATCTGTCTGATTTTAGCGGATCGGATGTCAACAGGTGTAAATGGACACACTCCATAGAGGAGAATGGAGGTTCCAATCGGGTCCATCTGAAAAATTAAGAGATGGACCCAGTCAGAACAGCTGTATGAAAGGGTCCTACGTCATTCCAAAGGCTAGTTTACAATTGTTTTGAAACTCCAAATGAGGGGAATTAATTAATGCTTTATCCTTTTTAACAGAAAAAGTTTTGTAAAAGACTTCCTTAGGACTAACACATCTTAAAACGGAACTAAACCCTCCTATCTTTTTCAGCCAAGGAAGCTGCCATCTTGTCCTCTGTTTGATCTGTAACTGCCATGTGATCAGTTATGACACCAGCGGTTTGATGGTTTGACAGTTTGGTTGAGAACACAAGCAAATGTGACTGCATTTCTGGCATGCTGGGAATGTAACTGTTTTTTGAAACTGTTAAAATCGATGGGTTTAGTTCCACTTTAAGTGCCCGGTCATACTGGTACGATTTCAGGTGCGATTTGCAAATTGAAATCACACCTGAAATTGCATGTAATGAAGTGAATGTCAGTGTCTTAACATTAACGATTAACGATTTGTTGTAGCGCGATTTCTAAAGTAGTCCTTGCATTACTTTTTCTGCAGTTTTGTTGCAATTTCTCATACATAGAATATAGTAGAAATTGCACTGCAAATTGCAAGAAATCGTTGAAAATCTTCACATGTAGCATTACAGTCTTCAGAAATCACTCATGAAATTGTGCTAAAAATTGCACACAAATTGCGTGATTTTAAATCACAGCAGTGTGACTAAAAACTCTAGGAGTAGTCTAGTTCTAAGATTTGCATCTTAAAGTCAGCATTTGCATACTAGAGTTTTTAGTCACACTGCTGTGATTTAAAATCACGCAATTTGTGTGCAATTTTAGCACAATTTCAGGTGTGATTTCTGAAGACTGTATTGTACTTGTGAAGATTTTCAACGATTTCTTGCAATTTGCAGTGCGATTTCTACTATATTCTATGTATGCAAATGCTGACTTTAAGATGCAAATCTTAGAGCTAGACTACTCCTTCCTGTCTCCTATAGCTCACTATTGCTCCTTTAGCATGATGGTCAGACTCATTTATTAAAAGTTAGATGAAGGGGGTGGGCCAGCCTTTTTAAAATTCAAGCTTCGGTCACACCAAATCTGACTTTGAACTAGCGCGACTTCACTTGAATTTGCACAATTTCAAAGTTGGATGTCAGTGTGACTTCATGTCTATGCAAGTCGCACCTGAACTTCCAAAAAGTAGTACACAAACTCGCACCTGAACTTGCAAAAAGCAGTGCATGAACTACTTTCTTCTATTGTGGCCAATATGGTGCAATTTTTCATGCAATTTGAATCGATCAAATCGTATGACAAATTGCACTGGTGTAACCGGGAACTAAAAGTCTTGGGTGCTTGAGAAAATTTTATGTATGTGCAGGCAGCTGAGGATTCATTTCATTTTAATCTGAGCCTCTTTGACTTTCTGAAACAGTGAAAAAATTCTGAGGTTGCTTCCTTGCAACTTGGGGGCATTCTCTTGACTAGTGTACAAGAGATAGGTTAGTCAAGACCCTCTACACCACCATCTCACTCTCTCACATACCCCTTTAACATATCATTAAAGAAAAACACTGTTTGGAGTAAAATGGCCAACACGGCCTTTTATTAACACTTCAACTCAATACACAAAACATTCATTAAAACAGAAACATATAGGAGAAGTTGTTGGTCTTCGAAGGCACCAAACCAAAACTGATATCCTCCTGCGGAACCTATATTATAACTAGGCCTCCTTCTGCAACACACCGACTCGGAGAAAAAACATACCATCCGCAGAGCAGAACCACCACCTTCCAGTTAAACCTTGGTTAACTGGAATGTCCCCGAGCACACCATACTGCCGATGGGTCCCAAACCATTATCTTTAACTTCAAAATAAGTGCCTCCAAAGACCAACAACCAGCCCCGAAACCCGAACAAAAAACCCCCGGGGAGTGACAAAACACCCGTACAACCCCAAGGGAGGGCGGAAGGGAAGCTCGCTCTCCGCTGTCTCCTCCTGCATTGAACTGACAACCCTCCCCATCCACACCCAAAGGTGTCGAAGACCCCACCCTACACCCTCCAGTTACCAGTCGGGTAACTTGCCCATATCCTAACTCCCACCTTTTCCTTTTAACTCTTTGTCTTTACTAACCCCGTCTTAACCTAGTCATGTCTGCCCTGCGCTATTTTCTTTCCTTCCTTTCGCTACGTGCATTTCTTTACTGTTTATGTACAGTGCTTCGCCAGAAATCCTATTTCCTGCTTATGTAATAAACTCAATGCTTTTCCCAGAAGCCTGGTAAAGGGTTGAATTCAAATTAAAAAAATTACTTACAACTGGAGTTTAATTTTTGGCAAGATTCTTTGCTATGTAAATAACTTACAATTTTGCTGTCAACATAGACTGTATGAGAATTAGCAATATACATTATGTGGTTTTATGATGCATTTGTTTTTTTTACCAGATTTTGACTTTTTGCTTTTAAAAAATTAGAAGAGGGCAAACAGAAAAGGAAATATATTTAAACATTAATTTCCATATGTGCTTCTGAATTGAGATGTCAACAAATTAATTTCAAATTATACTCCAGATACGCATCATTAAACCCAGCTAACGCCAGAGTGACTTCAATTTATTAGAAAAATAACCTGTTTCATTTCACATCTTTTAATTAAATTGCATTTTGAAGATACATTCCTTCTGCATTTGTACACAAATTGCTGTAATATTTAACTATATGGGATTTTTGTAATATGTAACATAATGCACAATCACCACTAAAAAGAATAAAAATAGTCTATCTGTAGACGGTTACATGATGACGTGTCCTGTCCTGTTTCCATCTTAATGGAGATAAATAGACCAGACCAAAGGATACCATGCCATATAAACAGTATGTGGTAAGGATGTTTGTCATAGAGCCAGGAAGTCTAGAAAGCTGTAAGAACATTCAAGGAAAAATAACAGCAAAGGTTAATTCTTTTGTAAGTGGGATAAGAAATGTGGTAAATTGCTTTTAAAGTGAATGTGGGGCATGCAGGGAAAAGCAAAGGGTTCACTTTCATGCCCTATCCCTCACCTGCACATACTCAGGTTTTCTTTGGTCCCCCTACTACTTCAATCAGCCATTTAAAGGAGACCAGTCCAATGTGACAGCACCGGACCAGCCTTTCGACACCAGTACTGCCACATGGAGAGAGTCACATGCTCCTTCATACCCAGAAGAACGTGATATATTTCCTAGATCTCATGTGGCTGAAGGTAATGACAAGAAATCAGGTAAAGGTGAACATGTGCTGCTTGGGGATCAGACCATAACGCAAACCTGTTGCTGAGAGGTGAGTTCTATTATGCTGGGTTTCAATTACATCATTATGCGTATGCTTTAGGAAGCAATGTAATTAATGGCTGCTGTGCTGTGAATAGTCAGGCTAGCTATGCAGTTGTACCTTGCAGGCGTGGCTGGATTTTTTTTCCTCTTAGTGGTGAACTTCCCTGTAGCAGCACCCAGCAACACACCAATCTGCAGACAGCGGCAGACAGTACCTTAAGTACCTCCAGTCTTCTAAGTGCAAGTTCTTTGGTTTGAATGTCTAAGGAAGAGTAGGTTAGGGGTACATAATATCCAAAAACAGGACCAAAGATTCTTCTGCATAGGACACTTCTCTTAGAATTCTTCAGGACTAGATGGTTGGCTTTTTTCTAGTTTCTTAGGCCTCTGCCACAGGCTAGCTTAGATTCTTCAAAGGGAACTTAAGCCCTTGTATTATTTGCAGCCAAGAAAGCTGCCATTGTTACTCCTGTTCGATCTGCAGTTGCCATGGTGCTGCATATGTGATGACACCAGCTGTTTGATGGAAGTTTGCTTGAGAGCACAAGCAACTGTGACAGCTGTCCTTACCAGCACCCCTTGAATGTAACTGATTTGGGAAAAAGTTCAAATGATGGGCTTATCTACACTGTAGATTCCTTTGATCTCTACCACAGATCAGCTTTAGATTCTTTAGTCCTCTACCACACGTGAGCTTGAATTTTTTAGGTTCAGATGGGAAGCTAAGAGAATGAAATTCTTCCTTTACTAAGCAGTAACCTGAGAGACAAGGACCTCTACACAGCTACGTTCTCCCTAGACAAGTGCCTGGGAGGGAAGGACTGGACCCCTCTACACAGACACCTTCAACAAGCAAAGCCTGGGAGGAAAGGACCTTTATATGAGGTCACTCCAAATATTTATCCTCTTCCTCAGCCGACATCACTGAAATAACCCCCCAAATGATTGGCCAAGGCAGAGTAAATATTCATGATGCAATACATTGTACCTTCTCTCTCTAATTACAGGAAAACACTCAACAACAGCAGGCAGAAGCAATCAATGCCCTGTGTTGGATCCAACATGTTGAATAGTCCAGGAAGTGTGGGTGGCATAGACAACAGGTCAGCTTAAAGCTTAGTAAGTTATGTTACAGCAGCCTGGTTAAGGGGGTGGAGCCAAGATGATGAACTTCATCTTAATGGTTCCAGAAACCATCTAGCAGTGATGTAACCTAACCCAACTCCCATCTCTACTAGATGGCATACATATTTATGTCTTCAGTAGAAACCCCTGGCAGCCAGGAAAATAAAAATCCAATCAACTAAATCCCTGCTGGGGTCTAAAAATGCTAGACACAACTACTACTTTGTCAAGCTGGAATCGTCAAGAAAAAGTGCTCATCAAACATGTTAATTATTATTACTGTAACATTGATGATTTTCTTGAAAACTGGAATAACCTTTTACATTTTCACCTTAGGATGTTGATGAGGAGATTGAGGCAGAATATAACATACTGCAGTCACTTCCCAACCACCCAAATGTGGTCATGTTTTATGGAATGTATTATAAAGCTGATCAGTATGTTGGAGGACAACTTTGGCTTGTTCTAGAGGTATGTGAAAATTCAGTTTGCAGTACCCTATTTTAACAACTAAATACACATTTGAAACACCTACTAATTATACTTTTCAAACCTTTGATTCAGTAGACAGTGTGTGGGGGATTTACTAAAACTGGAGCACTTAGAATCTGGTGCACCTGTGCATGGTAGCCAATCGGCTTCTAGCTTCAGCTTGTTCAATTAAACTTTGACAATAAAACCTGGAAGCTGATTGGTTTCTCTGCAGATCTTCACCAGATTTTCCAAGCTCCACTTTTAGTAACCTCTGTGCCACTGACCTAGCTTGTTTGCTGTTTGGATAACTAGTGAACATCAGCACCTTACTGATGTCCACCCTAAACCTTTTACCTCTAAGATAGCCTTTCCCCTATTTTGAGTTTTTGGCAGCACTGTATATTATATTTGAGTGTACTGTGCCCTAGTGAATAAGAAACTTAAACAAAATATAGAGGTTTTAGGGGCATGTTTTAATAGTCACAGTCGTGTGGGGAGTACTAAACATAGACAACAAACTGGCATTGGTGGAGATATGAAAACAAACAACTATCATGACAATGTGTGGACAACAAATGAGCAGTAGTGGTATTATGTGGGCAACATATAAGCAGTCATCACAGTACGTTGGCAATAAATGAACAATGGTAGACCCATAGCAACCAGACAATATGCACCTGGCTGCCTTGGGTGCATTTTTGTCAGTTCCATTGTGAAAATGTTCCTTGATAGAATGTGCAGCTAGCTCTCAGTGAAAGTAAAAAAAAAGTACCCATTATTGACAAGGCAGCCTGTGGCCATGAGGTTTGTAGGGTTTCTTCACTCCTGGATTGCCGTGTGCTTTATGCTCATCAGTTCATTTCTATCTCTTTGCTAAACTGCACATTCATTGCTCCTCTTTCACGTTACTAGTTGATTAATACTTGGCTTTAAATGGATTGGTTTATTGATCCACTTTTACATTTTTGTTTTGCTTTTTTTTTTCCTCTTCACCTTTTCATTGTTTATTTAGTGGATATTGAATTGTGTCTGAAATGATTAATCACTCTTTAATCATGTTGTCAACTCTATGTTTATTTTCTTTGTTTAGTTTTCTGTATTCTAGGTTATTTGATTGGAATTGCCTCTTCATTTAAAGTTCTCTCTTTTTTTACTTTGGCCTTACCATAAATAGTCAGATGGCTATGGGTGGGGGGACCCCTGGCCATCTTTAATTGTTGAAGCCATGGGAAAAAAATGGCATACCCACCTCTCATTTACGGATCGTAATGCCCAATTTCCACAGGATAAGGTTGTAGTCTTGATGGTAGATGTTTTTATTCAAAGGATCCCACACCTATGAGGAATTGGAGTCATCAGGACTGTGTTATGTGGACAATTTTTAATTATTTTGAAGAGTACTGAAGCTAACTGTCTGTAATATGGAGACTAAACCCAGGACCCTGCATTCTCTATATCTGGTCTACCATAGTACACAGAACATAGAAATGCAATTATTTTAGTAAATATAAGCTGCTAAACACCTTTTCTCATCAGCAGTATATAGCAGTCTTGTGACGTTTATCAGTGTCTGGTTGTACACTTGTTAAAACTTGAAGGAGAAATTTTCATTCTGCTCTGCCTGTCCTATGAGGCTGCATAACCCCTGACCCTCTCTCTGGACAGTGCTGATTGGCCTTGTGCTGATCACATGCATCCTCATAAAGAAAAATAAAAACTCTTTAGCAATACACACAAACTGAGCATGTGCAGAGTGATTCCTAGAGCTCTGTACTATCAGCAGATGAATTGGTGACAGTAGAAAAAGGGGGAGGATCAGAGAAGACAGGATCAAACAGCCTTTTTACACAATGCGAAGGATTAACCCCTTAGGTCCCACAGTGAGTATAACAAACATGCTTTACTGCATATACAGACTGATTTTACTGCTGTGGGTTTAGTAACATTTTAAGGATAAGATAAGTCTGTAAAATGCTATAGCACTTCCTGTTGGTAGCATGATTAGTCACAGGATCTTTGACATCCCTTTATTAATGGTATCCATTGAGGTCTGATCTTACCCTCTGCTTGTAATTGAATCCCATATGTGGTGATTAGATAGGTTTCTATTACCCTAGATTCACACTTTTTTCAGCATGTTCAGCGTTTTTCAGTGCGTTTTCCAGTATGTGGAAACGCACAACAGTCCATTTAACATGATTTCCAATGGATCTAGTTCACACCTGTGCCTTTTGGGATGGTGTGCTTTTTTGAAAGGATCAGAGGCTTTTCTCCCACAGCACATTGCAATTTTCTGTGCAGTAGACTTCAATGCAGCCGTATCAAAAACGCAAGCTTTGCACTTTTGATGCATTTTGCTTTTTTCTTTTTGCTAATGGGAAAGTATGACAGTTCTGTTCATGTAGTGAGACTTTGGATTGGTGTTACTTTAATGCCACGTAACACCCATCCAAAGCTGCATCAAAGTTGCACCCATCCAAAGTTGCATCCAAGTCGCACTCATCCAAAGTCACCTCAAATTTGCACCCATCGAAAGTCGCATCAAAGTCAATGCTTTCCTATTGGCAAAAAAAAAAAGCAAAGCGCGCCAAAAATGCATGTTAAAAATTTAAATCACACCAGAAAAACACATCAATCACAACAGACAGAGGTGTGAAACTAGCTTTATTTGGATAAAAAGCCACATAAATGAATAAATAAAGTAGGAAATGGTCAAAGTCCTGTCAAGTTTGTTTTGTTGCTGTCTGTATTCCACTGGGGAGATTTTTCTTCATTTACTGTATTGAAGCACAACAGGATTTGAGAGGAGATCTCCCGATGTAAGGGAAATCCTTGCATAGACAAGTGCCATAGGAACAAGTGTTGCCATTGGAATATTTCTTGTTTTTTTACTGTTCTGATGACAACTAAAAATGTTTTGGGTGACTATGGTCACTAGGACAAATAAAGACAGCGAATCTTACAGGCAGCAGTAACAATCTGACCAGGCTTCTAACCCTTTCCTACTCTATCCAACACAAACAGAAAAAAGTTTGGCTCTAGAGTGCTGTGAGGAGACTATAGATTTTGGTTTTAGGTGAAAATCACAGCAGAGATAAATCAGTTCCTCTCCAACGCCCCCCCCGATGTACTGTGGCAGAGCTATGGAAACCTCAGGACTGGATGGACAAAATTGAACCTCCTTTGGCAGGTTAATAGACAGCTCACAAAACTCTCACCTCTGTATTTAGGTATTTGCCTGAAGTTCAATTTCAATTTCCTATTTTATATTTTTTTTACAGTAGAAGCTATGGTTTGTCTGTTTGTTTTTTCTTTTGCAATAACATGTAATTCTGAGATAACAGCAATCAGGGAAACATTGCATATTTCATTCCCAGATGCCAATCGATTAACCATCCTGTTAATGAGCTGTGAAAAAAAAAACAAAACCCTAAAAGCTATTGGTATTCTTGTTAAAACAAAGATGCTTGACATTCCCTGAGAAGTAATTGCTAGCACTTGTTTTAGATTGTTATGGTGCTGAAGTGTGTGTTGTATGGGGAGACTCTCCAGTGTTTCCATGGTACAGATTTTTTGTAATATTGGCAAAAAATAAGGCTTCACAGCTACCCATACAGATCTCATGGCAGAGGTCAGATGATGATGCAATCACCTCTATGACTCTTTTCACTGATTACGAAATAAGCAGATAATCCTGGTGCACCTAAAAAAAAATGACAAACTCTTGGAGTAATTTAAGGTACACCGTGCGGTAACCCACAGTTATTGGTGACTTGGGTACACCCTAGATCAGTGGTTCTTAACCTGGGTTCGATCGAACCCCAGGGGTTCGGTGAGTCAGTCTCGCGGGTTCGGCGGAGGTGAAGACCCACACCCGACTCATATGATTCGTGATGACATGCCCCCACTTGTCCATCATTGGCTGCAGGTGGTCACGCAACATCGCTTAGCCCAGTGGTTGGCAAGCCGCGGCTCGCGAGCCACATGCGGCTCTTTACACGCTTTAATGCGGCTCTTGTGTGCCGGGCGCCCGCTCCCCTCCCTCCTCTCGGGCGGCAGGGACTCAGAACAGCCAGGGCAGCGCGCTCAAATGCAATGATTGGCCAGTCTCGCTGCCACTCACATCCTGATAGCCAGTGATTGGCTGTCAGGATGTGTGTAGGCGGGGCAGCGTGACGAACATGAGAGGAGCTAGGCTCCTCTCACAGTCCGCCCTGAAGACCGGAACAGCGCGGGAATCCGGCGAGAGGAACGCGCGGAGCAAAGGTAAGTGAATTGACACAGGGGGGACTTGGCTTACTACTTGCTACTTACTTACTACTACTATATAAGGGATGAATTAATATGGGGGATGAATTACTATAGGGGGGATGAATTACTATATGGGGGATGAATTACTATATGGGGGATGAATTACTATGGGGGATGAATTACTATGGGGGATGAATTACTATATGGGGGATGAATTACTATATGGGGGATGTATTACTATGGGGGATGAATTACTATATGGGGGATGAATTACTATATGGGGGGGATGAATTACTATATGGGGGATGTATTACTATGGGGGATGAATTACTATATGGGGGATGAATTACTATATGGGGGGTGAATTACTATGGGGGATGAATTACTATGGGGGATGAATTACTATGGGGGATGAATTACTATATGGGGGATGTATTACTATGGGGGATGAATTACTATATGGGGGATGAATTACTATATGGGGGATGAATTACTATGAGGGATGAATTACTATATGGGGGATGAATTACTATGGGGGATGAATTACTATATGGGGGATGAATTACTATATGGGGGATGAATTACTATATGGGGGATGAATTACTATATGGGGGATGGATTACTATGGGGGATGAATTACTATAGGGGGGATGAATTACTATAGGGGGGATGAATTACTATGGGGGATGAATTACTATATGGGGGATGAATTACTATGGGGGATGAATTACTATATGGGGGATGAA